AAGCCGCTCGCCCTTGCATTAACGGACATGGAGAGAGTGCAAGTAATGGGCAGAGAAGCCTTTTTGGTCTATCGACACATTGAGGACGCAATTCTTGACAAGCGACGTCGAATCTGGGCGACGCGCTTTGCTGGTGAAGCAAACGAAGAGAGTACACTTGACTATCTTTTGGAAAACTTTGGTCGTCGTACGGAGCAGACGCGTAATGTCGGCACTACTGGCGTAGAGTTTGACCGAGAACAGGAACCGATTGGCCGACAGGTGCAGAGACGTGTTCTTGATTCAGACAAAGCCAACAAATTGGCCGAGGCCCGCCAAAAACGGGGTAAAATGTGGTCGCAGAAGAAGAGCGTCTTTGACTCTCTTCATCAGAAACAATTGCAAAATGTGACGTACGGTGTACGTTAAATTTTCTCTTGTGTCCATTTCTCTGTCTGTCCGTTTGGTTTGTGTGCTTGTTTTCTTGCTTGAATGGGTGTTCTGGGAACGAACTGCGAAGGAAAAGGGGGAGGGGAGAGAAAGAAAAAAGGGAGAAGGGGAATTTAAAGAGAGTGGCGTGGTTGGTGTCTCTTAATCCACGCAATTCACATTACATGCAATTCCTGAAATAAATTCACTTCTCACTGCTGTTGTCCCGTCGCATTTGCCTTCGCCAGTCTGCTTGAAGGAATAACTAAACTATGGAAGGAGTGGGAATGTCATGTTCACTTTTTTTTTTTTCTTTTTTTTTTTTCTTTTTTTTGAATTCTTTGCCCTTTGCGTTAGTAGAATCTACGGAAAGTTGAGGAGAGTTGAAGCGGGCTTGCAGGGGCAGGCAGAACCTCTCTTTCTTTCTCTTTCTCTCTCTGCGTATTATTGCAGTCAGCAGCGGTGCCATTATTGGCACCGTCCTCTTTTTGCACTTTTGCCGAGCCACACGTGCGTCTGCGGTTAAGAGAGAGAGTGTGTGTGTGTGTGAAGAGAAGGAGAAGGGAAGAGAAATCTGAAAAAAAAAAATAATAATAATAATAATAATAATAATAAAGTAAAATAAATAAACAAACAAACAAAAAAAAAAGGTTGAGAGAGAGAGAGAGAGAGAAGTGTGTGATACCTGCGCACACGTAAAGAGCCAAAGAGTCGGCCTAAAGGAAAGGAACTAAGAGAGAATTACCGTAGGGCATAGAGAAATCCATACACACACATATATACATATATATATATATCTTTATAAGTACACCCAGAAAACCGAGGTTTCTCTACGAAATAATAATTGGAATGAACTCTCACGTGCCGTCGCAGATGTTCGGTGCGCTGCCACGCCGAAAGCCGAATCAGCATCATCTCCCGCCACTGCTCCCTCCATCCTCATCTTCCCCCAATGAAACTATTTCTGCTGTTGGTTGTCGGGCTATCCCACCTCGAAATGCCTTGCAATCACCAGGAATATCACGCCAGAGTAGTGCTTCCCCACGCAATTGCTGTAGTGTCACAACGATGGGGATAATAGCCAAGGCCGATTCGCGTCACGCAGCTAGCCGTGGCGAAAATGGTGTAGTTGGTTACGCCGTGGAGCATCAACTGCCCAGTCTGCTCAACAACATGATGGAAGACTTGTTACGTGAACGTCCAGAGGAGAATGTAGATGGATGGATGTTCCATTGGTTCGAGCGGGCGTACGAACGGCGTCGGGAAGAGACGCAGCGACGACCGGCACACCCACGTTCCTAGTGTTTTCAGCAGCGTGCCGTAAGCATATGAACCAATCCAAAGGATGGAGAAGTCTGTTTGTTTGTTTGTTTGCTGCATTTGTTGTCCTCTGCGTCGGTGTTAATTGAAGACCTCTTTCATCGCATTGTCTTCTGCCGCAGCTTTGCCACGCATTGGGGGACAGCGAGACAAAGAAAAGCTTTTTTCCCAAATTCCGCCACGAACTGCCATGAGTTTGCCAAAAGTACATCATCGCTTTATTATCTCCGCTGTCCATTAGGGGTTTTTTGCGCCATTGTGCTTCTTTTCTTTCCACCGGCCCAGTAATCCTTTCAGTTATCGGTCGGGGGAAAAAAAAACATCTTTGGGTGCGGCTGCCTTGCGTTGTGGACGTTCTAATAAAGTCTCGTTCCCCACATATGCTGCAGGCTCTACCTGAGGCGGAAAAAAAGTGGTGAGGAAGGAAAGGGTGTATTTGGGTGATTTGCACATTGCTTTTCTGGAGTATTTATGTATTTAGTCTTTTTTTTTTTTTTATGCTCCTTTTGTGGTAACTGTATGGGTGTACGTGTGTGTGTGTGTGTGTGTGAGGAGGTGCGGTAAATGTCTTGCACTGCGAGGAAAGGGAATAGGCCTGAGGGAGAGCCCGTGTCATGGATAGTAGTCAAGGCGCCGATCCACGTGGTCCCTTATTTATTTGTTTGTTAGTCTTTTTTTTCTCCCCAGTTTATTATTTGTTTTTCTCGTGCGGGCGGTGGGATCTCTTTTGTGATTGTCACTCTTCACTGGGGCAGTGGAAAAAAAAAAAAAAAAAGGAACGGTGAGGGCAGATCGGGGGAGGACTGGAGTGTGAGCGTCTGCGCGCAGGGTGAAAAGTTTCATTTCCCCTCTTTTTTTTTGCACATTTCATGATGTTTGGACAGTAAATGATCGAAGTACGAGTTATGCGTGTGGAAATGCACGTCTATTGGCATATATATATATATATATGTATGTATGATGTCAGTATGCATGTGGGATGCGGAAGGAACTCGGATAATGCCCAAAGCCCCCCTGCCAACATAAAATTGTATCCATGTATCTTTACCCATCCGCTGATGCCATGGAGAATGGACCAACGGAGCAGGGAAGGGAAGAGGAGGGGGGGGGAAAAGTAGCAGTCATGAATAATGACGAAAAGGACGGCAAAAAAAAAAAAAAAAGCGTCAAGAACAAAAAAGCAATTACCATTATCATAAAAAAGAGGTTTGCCGTAGTAGAAGGAGGGGTCTATATGATTTTACATGCATGTGTACTTTTACACAAAACACATAGTCCCATGATCTTTTATTATTTACCGTTATGTTTTTTTTTAATTGGTATATGCGATAAAATCTTAGAAGAAATGAGGTAAAACGAAATTAATTTCCCCAATTTGCTCTTTTGGTTGTTTGTTTGTTGTTGTTGTTGTTGCTTCCTGGCTTCAAGTGTGCTCTCTCCATATGTATATATATTGCTGTCTCTGTCCCTGCCTCTGTGTCTGTGTGTGTGTGTGTATGTGTCTTTCTAATAGATGGTTTTACGCCTGCATGCGTGTGTGGATACGTATGGATTTATTTATTTACTTATTTTCTTTTTTCTTTCTTTCTTTCTTTTTTTTTTTTTTTTTTCTCATTGGGGTAGTTGTTTTGTGGCTTTTTTAAAAGCGAAGGGCTCGGCTCTTCCTGATCACCCCTCACTTCCTGCAACTTCGCAGTGCTTTTTAGCACAGGGGGAGGGGCGGCGTTTTGTGCGTGAGTGGGTAAGGGGGGGAGGGGAGACCGAAGCCAAAGGGATTGTTTTTCTTTTTTTTTTATTTTTTTCCGCAGGGATTCTTGCGGGTTATTTTGTATTTGTGAGACCATCGAACCACCCAACACAACACCCGTCCGTTTGTGCGAAGAAACCAACGAGGGGGCGAACAGACGATCACCTCAACATTCATTAAACGTGAGGAAAAGGAAAGTATTGTGAGGGGTATAAAAAATTCTTTTTCTCCAGTAGAAACAATGGAAACACCGAAGGTGACATGTGACGATGTGAATGAGCTCGTTGCGATGTGCTCCATATCGCTTGAGAAGGCCATCACGTCCCTTCAACAATGCTCTTCTAGCCTCTTCGTGCTTCTTTACCAGCGTCTTTACAACTGTACCATCAAAGACATTGAAAGCTCCCCATATACGCTGCAACAAAAGCAATGGAATGTCACACGCGTATTGAATGAACTGCGAGACAAGAGGGGTATTGACGTTGCGGGCATTGACGCAGAGCAGATTATCCAATTTAATGAAGAGCACATCAGTCGACTAATTACGCTTTTTTTGAATATTGCATACAAAATGAGACTGCAAGGGGGTGTGGGGGCCGGTGCTTCCATTCAAGTTGGCTCTGGGAAGTTACCGTCAACGCGAAATTTGTTGCCTACAGCTGTGTCAAGACCGGTGTTAGCAGAGTTACCGCATGAATCCGCAGAAGATGGAACGTGGTATGCCCCAGTAAGAACTGTGGAAGAAGGGGAGCGAATGTTACACATGGATGAAATGCATTTTGCCCAATTCCCTCAGGAACATGCTAAGGTTGCTCCCCTGGATATGGACGAGGGACGTGTCGGTCAGCTCCCAGGACCGCTCTCTCTCCCACATCACACACACCACGGCCATCATAGACATGTCCCAGAAATGGAAGAAAGGGCGGGTGGGGGTACCACGGGGGATGTTGCCTTCATGAGATCAGGCGAGGAAGATGAGGATGAAGAGGATATTCTTATGGGAACCCTTGTAAAGGATGAACATGAATACGGCGGCAGTGCTGGTAGTTACGGTAATGGAGATGAGGAAGAAATACCCACAAACCAGTTAGTGAATGCATGGAACGCCGAGGTCATCCCGCCCAAACAATACAATCGGGTCATTAATTCCTACGACATTGCGGATGTACGGGAACGGTTGAGCCTAATGGAAGAACAACTGATAAATGAGGCCCGGCAACGTGAGAGACGTCAGCGGGCCGGGGTGCCACGCCACCTCGACAGCAGTCAGGTTGGCTTCTTTGACCATGATGGGAAAGTTGCCAGGAGACTCAGGCGGCGCGAGAAGCCCAAGGTTGTGTTTCCTCGCAGTCTCGTTCCAGACACCGTCTCCAAAGAGGATTTCCTCCGCCAAGAACCGAAACGCATGATTGATTACACCCTGAGAAATGAAAAGATTGAAATGCTTCGTTCTGTACGTCTCATTGATGATCTCCAGAAGGAAATTCGGCGGAAAATGTTCCAACGACACAACGACGCAACGCGACAACTACGCGAGAATCTACGGCAGTCATTGGAGGAAGATCGACGGGAAAAATTGGAGCGTATGCGGCAGATTAAGGATGAGGATCAAAAGTACCGCAGCGCTTACAAAGCCATCATGGCTGCTGCCTGTAATGATCTTCGTACCGCAGAAGATCTTATGATGGAACGCACCCGACAGTTGGCAGAGTATCATTCACACTCGCTACGGGAGAGCCGTCGCATGTGTCAATACATGAAGCGGGAGAGCAAGGAACGGATGCGGCACGATCTCCTTCGCTATGCGAGTACGGTAACGGGATGGCAGTCACATTTTGTCAGTTAGAGTTGTTGTTGTTGTTGTTGTTTTTTCCCCCCTCGGGGAGGAAGAAGTCTTATTTAGATTCCTTTCCGAATGGGAGCGCAGGAAGAAGAAGAAGAAAAAAAGGAGGATATAATAATAATAATAATAATGATAGATAGAGGGAGGAACGAGTATTATTCTTAATGTGTTATATATATATATATATGGACACCTTCTTTTTTTCTCTCTCTCTCCCTTTCTCTCTTAGACCTTTTTTTTTTCCTCTTTCCGCGCCGTGCGGTTACCCAAGTGACCGCAGTTTGTATTGGTGTTGATGGTGGAAGCCTGGAGCGACTAAAAATTTCTCCTGCTGAGTTGTCGTTGTTGGGTTTGTTTTACTGTACATGGCGTTCCTTTTTTTTTTTTTTTTTTGGTGTTGTTGTTGTTATTATTTTCTTGGATGGCAAGTGCCTTTTACTCTTCTTTCTTGTACGTGCTGTGCCCTGAAAAAAGATAATGTACATGTGTATATGTGTATACGTATATATTTGTATGCATTTAGAGAGGGGGCGAGGAGAAGCAGCTTGTGGTGGCGGAGAGCGGCTGGCGTATTCCCTACCCGGTGCGCGCCCTTCCGCAGCTGTGGAAAGGGAGGAAAAGTGTAAAGAATTGCTTATAAACAGCATGGGGCGGATTTTGTGTGAATTGTACCCAATTCCTTTTTCCTTTCCCCTTCAATTATGTGATGCGTGCGCCCTTTCTACTTTTCTCTACGACTTTTCTTTGGGTGGGGGGTTTTGTATGACGACAGTTACGATGAGGGAACGGCGTGAAGGTCGTGAGCCTCACACATTTTTAGACAGCTGCCACCTTGCGGAGCACACATCGCCGCGACTAAATGATCTCAGGCATTCGAACCGTTCCGGTGGGAACCCCGAGGCGACGACGTCGACTGTCTTTAATCGCTTTAGTAGCGTCAGTCCGCAGCAGCCTGGCATCTCATACGATAGTGCGAACTGCACCAGGAATGGTGTCGGGGGCAGCGGTTATATGCCGCCACCGCCACCACCTCCTCCTCCGTCCTTCTTTTTTGGGGGTGGCAGTGGAGCCGACTCGAGGAATGTCGGCTGGCCGCCGCCTCTTCCGGCCACGTACTGGACGCTACCGCAGGATGCCCCGTGGATTCCACCACCGCCCATCCCACACAACACCTCGGGCGCTTCGTGTGGCGAAAACTGTCGTGAGGCGGCCGCAAAGTGGCCGACGCCACAAGACATTCCATTTCCATCCACTTTTCCGTTTCCACCACACATGCTGCCGCCCTTCTTACCAATCTCTCCAAACATGGACTGGAGCCATATCCCACCCCCTCCGCCGTGGTTTCCGCTGTTGCAGGGTCCTCAACATCCAAAGGAACAGCAGTGGGAAAATTATCGTGAGGATAATACGTCAATTATCGACGACGACTACGACGAGGATGATGATAACGAAGACAGTGTGACGGAGCCAGGCCCTCGAAGAGGAAGAGGGCCCGCACCACATCGAAGGAGTTCCAGGCGTCAACCTTCGATATCAGCGCAAGAAGAGGAACATATGCGTTTGATTGCTCGTGAGGCGAAAAGGCGTCAGCTGCGTGCCAGCGCCTCCCATACATCAGCTAGAGACCCTGTGAAGGGCTCCATGAAAGGAGGGCGTCAGGCACCTAAAAACTTATCGTCAACACGTGGGCGAAATAAAATTTGTGCAACACCAGCATTCTGCGAGAAGGCTTAGCCCCTCTTCTGCCAATCCACGGCACAT